GGGGAAAAAAAAAAAAAAAAAAAAAAACAAAACATAGGCAAGAAAATTCTGATCTTAAAGTTTTAAGAACTCAGTCAGCAATGAGTATTTGTATTATTTAACAATAGAATTCACAGCTATTTGTGGCAAACCTATACTAAGATTTTGTTTTTGTTTGCAGTAGTGGGGATTGAACCCAGGGCCTTTACACTGAGCTATATTCCTGCCCCTTTTTTAGTTTTTGAGATAAGATCTTGTTGGGTCACTCAACTGCCCAGGCTGGGCTCAAATTTATGATCCTATTGCTTCTAGGCCTTTTGGCTAAGATCAGGTAGAGTATCAAATTTATGATACTATCTCAGTCACTTAAAGTGCTGGAATTACAGGTATGTACCATTATGCCCAGCTCACAGCTTATTATGATTAAGCTAATTAATTAAGTAGAAATACAGATGCTTCAATATCAAAACAGTATACCATTTAAGATTTCTGAAGCCTAAACCAGCTGATGTTGAATGGTCGATTCATTATCCTTTTATAAAGATTTTCCATAAGCCTGGAAATCAGGTATAAATTGGAATAAAGCAGAGGGAGGTGCAGGAAGGTAATAATAATAATAATAATAATAATAATAATAATAATAATAATAATAATAATACTTGTAATCATAATCTCTTCTTTTAATTATATCCTTCTGCCACCATGCTGAAACAAAAGGTGTATTTGAAGATGTCATGATTTTAAAATGTGGAAGAAAAAAAGAATAATTTATACATTATACATGTTGTATAAAAATACTGATGCTTAGCTAAGTCACAGCACTAAATGCATATCCTCAAATGTAACAATAGCTATAGTTCTTGGTAGTTATAATTAAAAATGTTTAGGTTTCAAATTGAATATAGACCTCTAGCCAAAATGCTCAGGTATTAAAGTGTTTATTCAGCATCTTATTTAAGATGAACAAAACTCACCGTGTCTTTAAGGAAATATATCCAGGAAAAACATATATGTATTAAAAAAAAAACAAGAATATTAGAAAAAAACAGGATTTTTTAATGAAAAAATTATATTATAACAAAGACACTATACATTAAGTTACAATATGTATATACAATATACAGACATTTTTAAACCTCTTTAAAAATCTGGTACAAAGTAAACAACATCCTTTTCGTACCCACATGATCAAGTATATATTTTGACAGGATGTAAAGAAGACAAAAAACAAGTTGATAGGCCTCAAAATTAGAAACTCAAATGCATAACCAGATCCCAAGATCTGTGTTTTCTATCATTTTTGTTATATTTAGGAAACATATGCCTTGCACAAAATGTTAAAGCTTTTTTCTTTTAAGTATATTCACTACTTACAAAGAAAAATACTATTGAGGGAAAAGTCTGCCATGGCTGTGTTTATCTATAATTCACTAGAGTATACAGAGATTTACTTGGAGGTTTGGAACATGAAAATTACAATGAAGAAACAAGCTGAACTGTAATTGTGAAATCCTAACTGCTTACTTTGAAAGTCCAACTCAATACTACAGATAGTACACCTTGTAATTCATAGTAACACAAATGAATAAATGTCAAACTTTGCTGTGGAGCTGTTAGGAGAAAGCCAAACACAGACACTAAAAATTTTATGCACTGTGTTTAATAACCTGGGAATTTAAAAATAAATGTTTCAAATATGTAAACATAGTCTTCAAAAGGTGATGCTAAGCTTCTTTAAACACAGTACTGACACACTGTGACTAAACATGCATTCAAAGGACAGATGAATTTTTAAAGACTCATTTAGAAACTATTTTCAAAGAGCTACTCATTGAAATACTTACATGAAAATATTGATAGTTCCAGTTTCTACCTAAAAACCAAAAGAGTATACAATTAGGGATTTAAACCTTCCTTCATGCTCTTGGTTTCTGCAGGAATTTTGTTAGTGGGAAGGACACACTGTAACTTTCTGTCCTTGTGATAAAGAACAGTGTCAGAAGAGACATTCATGAAAGAAGAAAAATATATCTTAACTATGTTTTATTCAAGATCAAGTACCGTAGTCTGAATTTTCTGACATCTCTCATCTTCACAGGTACCTAACTGGGGTTTGCATCGTAACAAGCATTTCTCCTTAGCAACTCAACATCAAAAGAGAAAAGAATGTATTTTTAAATTATGTATAGTTCAACTGGTGAAATATTTTTAATAAACCTTTATCATTATTGGAATTTGAAGATCTATTACTTATAATCTTGGGTGCTCTCTTCAGCAACACATATATTACTTAAAATCTTGAAAAAAACTTTCCATAAAAAGTAGAAATAACAAATTAAAAAATATGATCTACAGTGAAACTCTGTAAATTAATTTAGGTTTATTCCTCAAGTATGCACAGCCTAAGAAATCTATCTAGGTTTGAGATAACTAAGTTATGTTTAACTTTGCCTAAAAATCAAATTTATCAGCCTACTTATACAAATGCTCTCATCAAATATTTTCAATTCTTAAAGAAAATTAATTCATATTAAAATAAGATACAGCTAAATATTAATTTTTCATTAAATAGAATATAAATAATAAACTTTATATTCAACAGGCTATAAATCTAAAGAATGAAAAATCTTAGAATTCCATCTATTTCTAATATTACAGTGTTTATATTTAGATACATGTTATGCACCTGAAATTCAGCAAATTAAGAATGGGAGACTGAGGAAGGTGTAGTGGTGCATACCACTTGGCAGGCTGAGGCAGGAGGATTCCAATCTCGAGTCCATGAAGTCTGGGCAGTTTAGTGAGACATTGTCTCAAAAAATAAAAAAAAAAAAACAAAAAAGGGCTAGGGATATACCTCAACTTGAAGCCAAAAGTGGCACATGTAAAATACTGAGGTTAAACTCCATATTATATTATACATGCTTTCAATATTAAACATTATATATCCATTTGAAATCCTTACATTTAAAAAATAAAACATAAAACATACCCAGAAATGGTCTCTGGAAAAAACAAAGCCTTTAAGGTGATTTCTTTACAGTTACAGTTGACCTTTCTAGTTTGCCAATCTTCCAGAAAATAGAAGCTTAAAATGAATATACTGATTAGTACTCACTTGAAATTTGAAGAAAATATATTTACTTAACAAGTAAATATATGATTAAGTTTTTAAAGTTTTAAATACTAAATTCTGAACTATAAATACCCTGAATTATTAGAAATCCTAATACTGCCAATTACAGTAAAAATTGACACAGAAAAATGTAAATACAACCAAAAATCTTGTCTGACCAGAAAAGAATCTTCAAAACAAAAAAATTGAAAAAAAAATACTCTGCTATCATAAAAAATTTGCCTAAATTACCTGTAAACACTAGGAAATTCTATTTGAGTTCTCTCAATTTCTTCATGTTTCTACCTATGAGTAAAGTTTTATCTCTGATATAGTATAATTTCAGGCAATATGTACTAATTTCTGTTGCTCATTTCAAGTTAAAACTTTCAGTACTTACTAAGACACTTAAATTTTAATAGGATGACCACTTGTGTGCTACTGGTTTGTTAAAAGAATAAAAATTAAGAGAAGAGGCTAAACTACAAGGGCAGTCTCCACAGATGTAATTACCAATCTTTGTATTAGTATCTAAAATGTTTTACCTTTCCAAATAAGACTACAAATATTTTCTCACCTGTTGCTAATTTAAAATTTCTTCATAAATTTAAATCTTACAACATATATCAGCCCATACATATATACATTCATTGTTTTTTGTTTTTGTTTTTTTTGTGTGTGTGTTGTAAGAACCGAAATCAGATATTTCCAAGGATGAGTTAGACAATCATTTGTGTTCAGACTAAATTTCCGTGAATTAGTTCAATGGACTTTTGAAATACTGACCTTATTACATAATGAAAAAGCATAAGAATTATATAAAGAGTTAAATATCTCTTAATGAAGGTAAAAATACAAAAATTTCAACAAATGTACCAGTTTTAAATCAAAGCTGCTCATAAAACCAGTCTTCAGTCCAGTTATCACAATGCTGTGCTGTGTTAATATTCACCTTCTTTTTTAAGACATGAGAAGTCATCAGAGTTGTAAATTCTGAAAGCTTGGAAAATTTATGTAGCAGATAATTTCTTACAGTCCAGATTCATTTTTGGTACTATAGACAATGTTGGTTCTTTGGGTTCTTGCTTAACTTGATTGACAGATATAGTACATTCTAGATTTTCTTCAACTTTAAAACCAAACACAAAAGAAAAATCCAAAAGGTTAGAATACTTTCTGACACTAGAATTTTTAGAATTACACGAATTTAAATGAAAAGTAAAAAACTGTAGTCTAGAAAAAGAAAATGTAACTGAGAAAAAGTTGGTATATTTGAAAACTCTTAAATGGTGTCTCTAAGCTGTATGAGCTATGTGTCTGCTTATCTGAAGCATTTTCAGAATGTATTTACCAATTCTGATTTTAAAGATCTTGTATCCATCTTAATCTAAAAGAACTATACAAGCAAGCACTGCTGTAAACTGGAAAATGCAAAGTCTAACTTCAAATCTTCATCTCTCTTTCACAAAATGTTAGTTTTTCAGTTTTCAGAAGGAAACAGGTATTTGCTCAGAGAAGGGTGCTGAACAAATCTAATGCTTGTCACATACTTGAGTTTAGCCAAGATAGAGAACTAGTAGATGATGGATTGCATAACCCCAAGAACTCATATCCAGGTAAAACAGTCCTTCAGCAAGACATAAAATGATATATCATGCAGATTTGGATCCAAAGAGGGTCCTCTTTAAAGTACTTTGTCCCTAGAAATATTGCGGCACAAAACAGTAATGAAGCATGTTAAAACAGAAGAAAATTTTGGAAGGCAAGGCTAATATGAATTTAAATATCTGCTCTGTCACTTAATTGATAGGAGCTTCTGGCAATTACTTATTCACTGTGGGCTTTGGTTTTCCCCACCTATAGAATGGGGGCACCACCAACTATACCAGTGATGGTGAACCTTTTAGAGCTTTCAATGATACAAACAGCCTGCTGTATCAAGTGTGTTATAGGATCACCATCATTGATCCATATCATGGAGTTATGAGGATTAATTCATGTCTACTCCTTTCCCTTCTCATCTACCAAAGTTATTCAGTAGTTACAGAGGTCACAGTCCTCTGGATGGTTTTTTTTTTTTTTTTTTTTTATTTTTTGTACCAGAGATCGAACTCAGGACCTTGTGCTTGCGAGGCAGGCAGCAGCACCACTGAGCTAAATCCCGGCCCTGGAAACTTTTTCGTAAAAGTAAAGTTACCAGTGAATTTAAAAGACAACCATTCTATCTGGATGGAGCTATATTCCAGTTCTCTTTATCCATAAGAATGATTTTTCAAATGGAGAGATGGGGGCTTGGGGAGGGGGATGGGATAAAATAAAATTTATTTAAAAAATAAAATAAAATGGAGATATATTGTGTATCCTATGAATAATTTCTGTGAAGGTTTTTGTTCTTCAAAGAAAATTGAAAGTCCTTTCTCACAAATGCGCACAGTCCAGAACAATTTGTGTGAAAAGAAGTGACATAGATCGGATAAATATTAACAGAGTTTACTAATTATGTTAACTGGGTTAGGAATAAAGTGAAGATAACAAGGTCTTGGATCAAATTCAAGTACCCAAATCTTACTAGTTCTTGTTTAACTTCCATAGAACTCAACATTTACATTTATAACTCAAAATCTTCTCTTTCATCTTTGTATGTTTACTTTTCCATTTTTTTTTTGTGTCCTTATATATCAAGATTTCCATAACCTTTGCAGTAAAATCGGTTTCCTTATTTTATTTGCATCTATAAATTTAGAATGTGTACATTATAAAGTAATTTTCTTAGTTTTACATTATCACATCATCATTCCTGGAAAAACAAGCAATCAAGGAATGAATAATTTCAATAGAATTAAATAATTAGAAATAAGGGAGAAAATAAAGCTTTTAAGTTTTTTGTTTTGTTTTGTTTTTTAAAGCTTTCAAGCGCTTACACTGCTGCAATTTTCCACTTCTCATAATTTTGAGGGTTAAATGTCTCCCTTCTTCCTTATAATTTTGCATGTTAAAAAGCAACTGGGAAGAAATTATTTTCTTGTGTACTGTGACACAATGATCCTAGTTCATAAAGGCTAAAAAATAATGTGGTAAGTTGATTTGTAACTTACTAAGAGCTGGGTGGTTGTCTATAATCTGTATTGGAACAGTGTGCACATCTCCCAACAATATCTGATGCATACTTCCGTCCAGATTCCCTGTATCCTCGACATCTCCAACTTCCATCAGCTGGTCCACAGCCACTAGATTTTGCTCTGGTCCTTGGAGGTTACCCCCAGTAGACACAGTACTATTCTTTTGGGTTAGGCATGTATCTGTTGGATGGCTAGGACTTTGACCACGCAGAAGAGAATTATTGTCTACTGAAGTACTTTCTACTGAATCCAGAAGTCTTGAAGGACTGGAGGAGCGTTGGTTATCTACTGATAACACAGCTGGTGACTCATCTGGAGAGGTGAATCTTGGTTGTAACGGCAAACCCTTTGAAAAAGAACAGTTATAACAAAATGTTTAGATTGAGTATACATGATATTCTCACAGGATATATTTTTCTCTTTCTTTCCTTCCTTCCTTCCTTGAGACAGGGTCTCACTATATCCTTCAAGCTGGCATTGAACTCACTATGTAGCACAGGCTGGCATTAAACTTGTGGCAATCCTCCTGCCTCAGTCTCCCAAGTGCTAGGATTACAGGCATGTGCCACCATGCCTGGCTATTTTCACAAAATCTTGGAACAAATAAAGTGCAAGTATATAAAAGATACTAAATGCAGATAGAAACAACCAAGGTAAAAGTACTACAACTGGGCCAGGGATTTAGCTCAGTGGCACTGTGCCTGCCTCACAAGTGCAAAGTCCTGAGTTCAATCCCCAGTACCAAAAAAAAAAAAGAAGCAGTACAACCAAATTTTACTGCTTTTACAGTTAATGTCAAACTTTTTAAAAGTAGTTTGAATCATCATTTTAAGATACAAAATGATCAGGAAATTAATAATAAATAAATATTTGATCATTACTGTAATTCTGTAACAATTCTCCGAAATACCTAGAAGAACAGAGTGTTGGAGGAACAAGAGCCCCAAATTTGGCTATTTTACTGGAGACCTACCTGTAGTTGTGTAAATATTTTGGGCTGAAATGAAAGTGAGGAAAGCAAGTGAGTTGGCTCTGGAGACAAAGAAGTCCCTGTCTGATTTGTTTCCACTTTGGTGGGAATTGATTCTCCTGGTGCATTTCCTAAATTACATAAAATACAACTATTAAAAATTACTTTTATGGCTTCTAGGATATTACTTTATTACAACCTTTTCAAACAGAACTTTTGGAAAAAAGATCAAAGGTTTGAAAGAATTTCAAGAAATCATCAGCCAAAAAAATGTCATCTAGTCTACTATTTCCAAACCTGGCAGGTCATCAGACTCTCAAAAGAAACTGTAAAAAATATATAGATTCCTAACCAGGTATGGTGATGCGTACCTGTAGTCCCAGCACTCTGGGAAGCCTGGGCAGAAGGATCACAAATTTAATCTCAGCTTGGGCAACTTAGTGACTCAGCAAAAATGTCTCCAAATAAAAAGTAAAAAAGGCTTAGAATGTAGCTTATTATGAAGGTCCTGGGTTCAAACCCTAGTACTGTCAATAACAAAATTGTTTTTTGATTCCTAGGTTCAACCTCCTCCCTCCAATGGATTATGGGGGATAGAACCCATGGCACTGAGCCTGCTGGTCAAGTGCTCTACCTCTGAGTTACAGTCCTATCTGCTAACCTCTACTAATTTTCATTCTGTAGATCTGGAATAGGATTCAGAAATATATTTTTTCCTTGAAAGACTTGTAACTGTAACTCTTTAGTCTATTTTCCATATTATAATGCCAGATTATACCCTCACTTTTCTAAATGTGTGAAACTTATTGAGCTTCTCAATTACAAAAAACAAAGTTTTTGTTTATTTGTTTTTTTTTTTTTGAGACAGGGTCTCATTATGTAGTTCAGATTGGCCTTGCACTCACCGTGTAGTCTAGGCTGGCCTTAAACTCATGGTGATCCTCCTGCCTCAGCCTCCCAAGAGCTGGGATTACAAGTATACACCACCATGCCTGGCCACAAAAACCAAATTTAATTCATCATTTTTACCTCTTATATCCTTGGCAAAAGTAGGTCTTCAATAATAACAACAATAAATGTCCTTAACTAATTTAGAATAAATGAGTAAAAGTAAAAATTCTTTTTTCTTATCTTATTTTTTAAAGGTAATTGTCCTTTGGAAGTCTGAGTCATTCTTGCATAATTCTTATGCTTTTTTTTTTAATGATGGGGGATTAAATCATGGCCTTTGCAATGAATTATATTCCAAGACTTTTTTTTTATTTTGAGACAGAGTCTTGCAAAGTCATTAAATCATTAAGTCCAGAGTAGACTTGAACTTGTGATCCTCCTGCTTCAGCCTACTAGAGTATCTGAATTATACATCCAGTCCTATTCTTTTGCCAGTGTTACTGAACTCAATAAACAACACCATCACTTGAATGCTCATAGTAGAAATTCAGATATCATCTTAGATTATTCTAGTTCCTTTTTTCCCCACCTATTACCCATCAATTTTAGTTTATGTGCTTCTGGCGTGAACACCACCCAGTCAATAACCAAGGTGCCTGAATTCTATTTTTTAAATAATTCTTAAATTTATCTAATTCTAGTATATATGCTACCAACTGTTGTCTAAATCACTAACAACTTTTTCATCTGTACAGTACAGTGGCCCTTCAATTTGTTTTATCTAGTTTTAATTCCAAGCACTATCTATGCTAAATTAACACTTCCTTAAATATGACAAAATCTTTCATGCTTGGTTTTCACAAGTGCTATTCTTTTGACTGGAAAATTCCTATTCATCTTTAGTTCTTAGTTTACAAGTAGAATTTTCATGTGTCACATCCCTGCTTCCTGGTCTATTATGTGTCTCTGTATCATCAGCCCACATAATTTTGCACAATTCTCCCATGATACTTTTCACAATGCCAGTTAATTAGAATATATTTGTTTAATGCTTTTTTTTCTTGTTAAAGTTTAAGTTTCATGAAGTAGAAACTTAGCCATTCTTTTCTATGCTCAGCATTAGCAGTTAATTGAATAAGCATAATGAATAACTCTAAAGCGCTTAAAAGCTATTTTTAGATAAAGTGACTCTTAGAGGTTAATAAGTGGGAGAATTAACTATACTGTACAGTTGTTCAATTGATTCTAAAGCATTTGTTTAAGTGTTAACATTTCAGCAGACTATCCTGAGTACTCTGAAGAGCTCAAATAAGATGTTAAATGGGGCAATGATTAGATTCTTTAATGTAAGAGGTGAAGTTAAGAAAGCACTTAAAATGAGATTGCTATTTAAGTAATACAAGGAGCCTACGTTGCAGAAGAAAAGACATTTCTAGGAGACAGAACACATGCAAAAGGGTTGAAATAAAATAGAAATATTGAGAGAATATATGAGTAAGGACTATGAAAAAAAGCAAGCAATACAAAATAGACACTACCAGTTCTCTTGTTCATTATGGTAGTAATCAGCATCAACATTTCAAAGATCAAAAAGCACCAAAGTTGAATATAGGAGAAATTTAAACAACTGGAAAGATTTTTAATAAACCCTAACATAGTTGCCTCCTTGGGTCATGGTTTCCTTATCTATAAAATTTGAATAAATGATTATATTTTAAGTAACTTCCAGTTTTCACATTGTTTGATTTGATATTTTATAGGTATTTGAGGTATCTTACCTTCTGCAAATGTAACTGTCACAGTCTCTCTCAGAATATTTCCACTATCTGTAGTCCACTGAAGCTGAAATGGGAACATTCATTTAAGTAAAAAAACATTACGTGGAAGACAAATCTTAAAACATCCTGTATCGTATTTTATTATCACAGTATACTTTATTCTGCAATTACCCTTTTTGCTCATTCTCAAAGCACAGTAATACCTCAGTAACCCAAATATATTAGGTCCCTGAGTTCAGATGGTAAGAATTTGGCTATCAAGTATAGGCGGCAAAAAACGTTGTTAACTAGGTATGTTTTAATTTTCTGAATTTTGAATAGTGAATAGTTAAAAAGTTCTGGACAGCAAAACAATAGCAGTGCTAGCTTAAAAAATTCAAACATAGTAAGTTAGTAAATTAGGATAGTAAAATTTAAAAAGGAAAGAATATTACTATTCAGAATTTAGTGCTAAAATCACAACTTGTATTATTGGTAGTAGTTCCTGGATAATCATAGTAAAGTTTTCTTAATACTTAGGTGGAAACTACAATATTAAAGTATGAGGTAATACTCATATTCATATCTGGCATCCAGAATCAATCTCATCATTCTGGTTTTCCTTTCTTTTTCTTTTTCTATTTTTTTTTTTTTTTTTTTTTTTTTTTGGACTGGGGAATGAACTTGGGACCTTGTGATCATTCTGTACATTTAAGTCTGAACTATTTAACCTTGGCCATCTATTTTTTAAAAGGAGGGAGGCAAGCCGGAGATACAGCTCAGCGCTAGAGCACTGTCTAGCACTTTTAAGGCCTGGGTATTGATCCCAACCACTAAAAAAAAAGGTAGGTGAAAGCCAAATGTGGTGGCACATGGCCTTAGTCCCAGCACTTGGGAACTGAGGCAAGAGGTTGCTTAGGCCTGGGAATTTAAGATCAACCTGGGTAACACAGTAAGATCCTGTCTCAATCAATAAAATATAAAAGGAGGGGATTGGTGTATACTCAGTAAATGTCTGCTAAGTGAATAAGAAATAGCATCTATAGAGAAAAAAATATTGATTTTATTTATTTATTTTTTCATTGAGTTTACTGGTACTTTTTAGGTATACAGTACAGTTACATTCATCATTGGGATCTTGTACCTTTACATGACAGGTCTTGGTTCTCATTTTTTCTTCATACCCTGCCCTCCCTGTACCCTCTCTACTCTTCCCTATTTACAAAGAAAAATACTGAATTTAAAGAAAAGACTAGAATTTTGATTAAAATCAGATTTAGAAATTCACTATTTTTATACTTTTGACAAAAATTAAATTATCCAAAATTTCATAGTATTTACTTTTTTTTTTTTTTTTTTTTGAA